ATTTAATTTAATTCTGCCTTTTTATTTGTCTATTTTTAAAGTTGTTCAGGAATAATTTATACTATGGGGTATTTTTTAAAACGCAGGTATTGCATCCTTGATTTCAATGTGTATTTCCTCTTCTTTCATTCAGTTCTGCTTCAGTGCAATAAAAATTGTTAAAATATACAATAAGAAGACATACGTCGAACGAACACCTTATAATCAAATTATTATTTAAGCATCTACCAGGGTCCAATTTCTATATTTTCATAGAGTTGGTGGGAGATGAAATAAAAGAGATACAAATATCTATTATGAAGAAAATTGCAAATATCCTGTTCATGAGGAAATTTACTGTCACCAGGTATATTTTCAGTGGAATTATGCAGGATGATATGTTACAGTATAGCTGAATATTTGGGAAATTTTAGGAGAGATTCCCATAATAAATTCTTGGGTTTCTCTTGGTTCCTCACAGCCAACATTGAAATTTCAAATCTTCCAGTTACCAATATTAATTTTTTTCCCATGGAAATGAACCAGAACATTAGCCAGGATTAAACTCTCTTCCTGGAGTTCCTCCTCTAGGATATGAAAATAATAGTTCACATGCGATGGCTTGGAAGATCACGACCTCACGAGAATTAACATTTTATTTTTTTTCCCTAGCTGAAACTAGAGGGGTACTGTGGTCAGAAAAAATCTGTCTGCCTCCCTGTGAGGAAAAGAAGATGTTATCAAGTAAATCATAAAAGTGCCTCCAGGAGATGACTCAGAAAGTGGTCCTCACTATCTGTTTCCTTCTATCTGAAATAAGGGTTTTAACTTCCTTTGTTGATCTGCTCTAAATTACCAGTTTGGAGTCAGTTACCTTATTGAATATGAAGCATTTACCTTGATATCTATAATATATGCTTCTTGATGACATTTTTCAGAAACTAAAAGAAACCAATTTATATGTCCTCTTTTGCCTCACAGTCAACCAACTTATCTCCTGTCTTCACATTTTCAGAAAAAGGAGGTAAGTTACTTTCGACTGCAGTAATGCTTTCTTTACTCACAACTGGAAACCTTTGAAAAGAAATGTCTTTGTCAGAAAGAAATGCACAATTTTACATTTGTGGATTTTCTTCTTCCTTTGAGTGGAACTAGCTATAGGAAAATAAGACCATCATTTTTGCAGTTTATTATGTCACAGTTTACTTCTTAATCACGTTTATTAAGATTTCATTGTTGAACTGCTTCTGCAGTAACAGTATATTGGCATGTCACCTGTACCAGAGCCGACAGATCTCTAACTTCAGAAATGTTTGCAAATTAATACTCTTTACATTCCAGTAAATTATTTGATCCTCAGGGCTCAAAGGAGGGTTGCAGATTGGATTCCAGAGTGGAACACTGTATTCTTTCAGTTTAAAAGGAAGAGATAGAAGAGTGTCTTAACTGGTATGCACACACTATGTGGCAGATACTGGAGCCAAAATATGCTGGTACCCAAATATGCTAGATGGTGGATGGCCACATCCTACCCCTCCCATAGGGCTGTAGCTCTGAATGTGGGCTTTGGTTTGGGCCCCTGGGTTCACATCCTAGCTCTATCATTTCCAGGCTCTTGAGCAAGTTTCTTTACTTATCTAGCTTTGCTACTGCTAAGTCATTTCAGTCGTGTCCGATTCTGTGCGACCCCATCCCTGGGATTCTCCAGGCAAGAACACTGGAGTGGGTTGCCATTTCCTTCTCCAATGCATAAAAGTGAAAAGTGAAAGTGAAGTCGCTCAGTCATGTCTGACTCTTTGCGACCCCATGGACTGCAGCCTACCAGGCTCCTCCGTCCATGGGATTTTCCAAGCAAGAGTACTGGAGTGGGGTGCCTCTGCCTTCTCCGCTTTACTTTCCTCTAAAATCAAAGTCATTCATACAAAATCAAGGCCATACCTACCTCACACAATTGTTATAGTGATTAAATAAAATAATGCACATAACTATTTTATGGCATTATTTCCCCCCACTAGAATATATTGTCAAAATCATAATGTAAGTGAGAGAAGCCAGAACACAGGGTTCTTCTTTATATATATTCAAGAAAAATCTACTTCAAGATAACTATAAACTCTTAAGAAAACAATCTATAAATATCAGCTTTAGCCACCAAATCTAAATGGGTTTCATGTTTTTTTTTTACTTACTTAATTTTTTGGCCATGCCACAGGGAATTCACGCCCCCTGCAACAGAAAGGTGTAGTCCTAACTAACCACTGAAAGGTCAGGGAATTTAAATGGGTTTCATGCTAAAGGTCACATACTACATAGTTTAAGGTCACACTTCACCCATGCATTCACACATTCATTCATCAAGAGTGTATGTGCACACTCACCTCAAGGCATGGGTTTAGGTGCTGAGTATTCAGTTTGGGTAGAATAAATATGATTTCTGCATTGAAGCTCCTTCCAATCTGGGACACAGGAACTGAACCAGGAGAAGTAGAACAAACAGAAAGGTTCAGAGGAGAGGCAGAGTGTTTGGGAACATCATAAACTTAATGTCTGGAAATTGGCAGTCTTAGCTGTTTTGAAAGTTCAAATGGCTTCTTTTTAAATTCCTGGATTTTAATATGTCTCTCTATACCTCTCTCTACCCTGCTGTCTGTGCCCTCACTTTTCCCTTCTTTTTGAGGCGGGGGGGGGCGGGGGTTATTCCACACCTAGAATCTGAAGTAGGCTAAATTCCAAGTCCTTTCCTCTTCTCAGCTTCAGGGTCATGCGGAACCCTGGAGAGGGAAAATGGTGCTGCCGCCAGTGGGAGGAACTGCTGACCACTTAATCTTGTCTATTGTTTGGCCTCCTCTAGGTAGGTGACTGCTGATTAGAGGCAAGTGGGAGAATTCCTGGCAAGTAATCGTAGGCACCCACAGTTGTAAAATATGGAGTGTGGGAAGTGGGAAATATAGAAGGTCAAGATTACCAATGATCTGTAGGGAAATCTGTGATTTCACTCTTAAGGTAGTACGCAAAATGTTCATTTTGGGAAGAGGATTCACTCACCAAATACTTGAACATTAACAAGGTATCAGATACTGTTCTAAGAACTGGGAATACATCAGTAAACTAAACTACCCAAATCCACTACCTTCCTGGAGTATATACTGTCCAAGAAGATGTGGACATAGATTCTTACCCTAAAAGTGTCTGTGAGCTCAGGAATCAAGATGATAGACTTGTGGTCCTCAGTGGTGTGTACTAGCGCCATGTAAAGGCAACCTTAAACATCCAGATGATAGAACCTATCCTTAAGATTCTGAGTGGCTGGATCTTTGTTTGGTTTTGGGACTGAACCTTTTTAATTTCTCATTCATCTTGATCCAGTCAAGCTGGAGACAAATGGGTATCTTCTAAGAAAAGAGGCTGAAGATGGTTTCCTTTACCAAGAAGAGCCATGGAAAACTGGTCACTTCCTTCTTTTACAAATACTAGAAGGCAATAGGATTTTTCAGTTTTGGATATCTCAAGACAGAAGTAGCAAACTTCTTCTCTTGTTTTTATTGGCTTAGAAAAGTGCCCTATAAGCAGTGCTTTAAAATATTTAAATGTATGCCTATATATTTTAAGTTTTAGAAAGAAGAGGAATTACCATGTAACTTGAAACCCCAAATGATTCCTAAATTTTCAAAACACTACTAGTACTACTACTTCTAATAAGCTTTTATTATACATCACTTTACAAGTGTCCTCCCCGTAATACTCCCAAGAATCTTGTCAGGTATTGTTACACTTACTTAAGAAACTCAGGCTCTGAGGGGTCCCAGCGCTTGGTCAAGATCACACGGACACTGGACCGGTGAGAACCTAAACCTCACAGCTCAGCTCTCAACCGCGACCTCTGAGGCACCCCGTCCTTTCGGAGTCCTTTACACTCACCTCCCTTATTTAGCACTTGAAATCTCTCTTGTGACCCAAGATGGATAAACAAGTTATAAATCACTGAGGAAAAGAAAATGTTTAGGAGACTATCGTCCAGGCCGATTGGGGAGGGTAGCCTTGCCGGTGCAGGATATTCTTTCTGTCCGCAGCCCCCGAGCACGTTCCGAAACCTAGCAGGGACATTAGCTGGCTCTACCCCCGCCCTCGGGCGGTGCCCGAGGCAGCAGCAACTCCCGGCTGCGAATTCCGAGAGGTGGCTGTCGCGCCCACGCCCCCGCGGGCGCCAGGACTCGGGTGCAGATCCCAGACCCGGGAGTGATCCTTATCTCCTGGCCCCGGGGCGGGTCCAAAGGCTGCCCAGCTCAGCCGGGAACTAGAGTCCGGGACAGACGCCTGCCTTCAGAGGTCTCTGGCCGCAAGGGAGTTTTAAAGAGCTAGACCCTTTTCGGTTGAAGACCCCAAGCCCCTCTTGCTTTTTGGCTTCTTTCCCTCGCCTTATATTTTATCTGCGTCCAGAAAAGTTGGCCCTAAAGTTTAAGGATGCAGATAAGTGTGTATACGTGTGTGAGCGTGTGACGGATCCCATTTGGGGGACCACCACGGCCCCCCTCCCCAGGGTCGCAGAGGCTGGAGCACACCCTGCTCCAAGACCAGAACCCGCCCGCACGGTGCAGGTTGGGGGCAAGCCTGGCAGGCGCGCTCCTCTGGGTTGGGCTCAGGGTATTAGAGGGAAATGCGGCGGGGGGTGGGCTGGGTGACCGACAGCGTGGCCAGCCACTGGCCGAGGGCGGTAAGGAAGCTTAGGCCGGCGTGTGTGCGTGCGTGTGTGCGTGAGTGTGAGCGCGAGGGTGAGTGTGAGCGTCCCCAACCCCCACCTGTTTGAAATGGTTTTAAAATGCCCAAGCAGATTGCCCATGTTTTCAAAAGTTGCAGACGTTGGAGTAAAACACTTGCTCGTCTCCCACACCCCCGAAGGGCTATGCAGAGTCGTGAGCACTAAAATAAAAGTAGGAATGAGAAGGGTGTGTGAAGGGGGGAGAAAAGTGGCTGATCCTGGAAGGGTCGGACTTAGGACCCAACGGGAAGCACATTGGAATCTCTCACTTCAGGAAGGCGGGGTGGGGCGGGCCGGCCGGCAGGCGGTCGCGGGGCGCATGCGCGCGCGTCTCCTCTCGCCGGCCGCTGCGCTCGGCGGCGCGGAATAGAATGAACTGTAACAAAACAAGCCGAGCCTTTGTATCTGCTTAAAGGGGACGCAGGCACTTCCCTCCTGTCCCCCCCGCCCCCGCTCAGCTACCGCGTCTCCAGGGCTCCCAGCAACTGGCTGGAAGGGCTTCCCTCACCCTCAGAAACTGCCCGGAGCGAGGAAAGGCGAGCCAGGCGGGAGGCAAAGAGGAGACACCGCATTTCTAAGAGGCAAGAAAGAAAGGAAGGAAGGAAAAGAAATAATCCAAGCGGCGCAGAGTGGACTCTGGTCCCAGAGAGCACGGCCGGGCGCCGGAACGTGGACCGAGAAGCACCGGAATGCAAACAAAGCTCGCGGGCGCCTGTGCAGGGCTCGCGGGGAAGCCCAGAAAGTTTGTTTTATGATGGCTTGAGTGAGCGAGTGTGTGCAAGGGACCAAGCTGCCAAGTTTCTCTCTCCCGCTGCGTTGTTTGGGGGGAGATGTCTCTCCCATGAACCAGCAGGGGCTTGGGGGCTTGTGCTGTGGGGGGCACCTGTCTCTCATTTTACCATTATTTTTTTTGGCGGGGGTAGGAGGGGTGTAACTCATCATGTCGAAAGTGATCCAGAAGAAGAACCACTGGACTAGCAGGGTTCACGAATGCACCGTGAAGCGGGGACCCCAGGGAGAGCTGGGGGTGACGGTGCTGGGGGGCGCGGAGAATGGAGAGTTTCCCTATGTCGGAGCGGTGACGGCGACCGAGGCGTCGGGGCTTCCCGGCGGCGGCGAGGGCCCTCGGCTGGGCGAGGGTGAGTTGCTTCTGGAGGTGCAGGGGATCCGGGTGTCCGGCTTGCCCCGCTATGACGTACTGGGAGTCATCGACAGCTGCAAGGAGGCCGTCACCTTCAAAGCCGTCAGACAAGGTAAGTCGGGACGCGCCTCCTGGAGGCACCCCCAGAATAGGGAACCGGCCTGAGGAGGCTCCCCCCGCCCCGCCTCCGATTTCCCGCTTTTCTCCTGCGAACGCGGCAGAGGGGCGATGTTGAGGCCGTGTGCCCAGTGATGGTGAAATACACCAAGTTGTTGAGAGGTTGTGGGTTGTTTGCCCACCTGCGTTGGGAAGAGGGGCTTGGGTTAGCTCGGGGAAGCGCAGAGATTTTTCCCTGGCCCGGTTTGCTACCCTGTTATCTCCGCCACCAAGGGCAGCAGTGGCCTGCCTGCACCGGGAGGAGAGTTGGGGAACTGAGGCAGGGGCAAAGTGGACGCTCTCCTGGCTCCCTGGGCGAGTGTTGCAGCGTGCGCAGCTAACGCGTTCTTTGATCTCCTAGCTGTTTTCAGATCTGGAGAATGGGTATGAAGGAGGTCTTTGATTGTTGGACCTACTTAATCAGAAAATCAGCATCACCCCGTGACCGGCCAGGTGGGCTAGGGCATCACCACCTTTCAGCCCCAAAGCCTGCAGCCTGAAGATCTTGCATTCACCCCACAGCTGGATGACGCATGTGTCTCTACCGTGTGGCCTGGCCCCAGACTTGTGGGTGGCGCTGGGGGGAGAGGATAGAGAGGGTATTTCAGCGCCATTCAAGCCCAAGTTTATACTCCACCAGCGTCACCACCATCCCCATCACTGCAACCATCGTCATCCCTGTGAAGATGATTATAGCTGCTATTTCTTGTTCGCTTATTATGTGTCAGGTTCTGTGTAAAATGCTTTCCTTGCACTCTTTTGTTCTGATGCACAACAATTCTGAGAGGGAGTTTTTCTTACAAACCCCATGTTTTGGATAAGGAAGCTGGGACTGACGTTGTTTCATTTACTGATGTTGGTTCAGTTACTTGCCCAAGGTCACACAGATGCCAAGAGTGAGGGTTTGAAACTCACTGTGCGGGAGACCTGAGGGGTGCACTTGAGAGAAGGGAGTGCAAGCAAATTCATCTCTTCGAAGCCTGGAGAGGAGTGATGACCCTTCTGATGGCTGCTGGTTGGGGGGAGCCCCTTGCATTTTAGTTTGGTATAGGCTCAGGGCTGTCCCTGATGTAGTGCAGTAGAGAAGGACTGGATTCCCTTAAAGGGGTCCCTTGTATGACCAAGCACCGTGATGCAGGTTCTTCCCTGCAAAAGCACCAGGTTGAGCCCTGGTGAAAAGTTCACACATGTGCCTGCGTGCTTGAAAGGGCAAGTAGCAGCTGGAGGACTGTGTCAGAGGAAAGGAGGGCTGGGCTGAGCTTGTCCTCTTTTGGAAACAGGCCTGTTCCAGATGAAGTGGAGGAGGGGGACAGGGAGAAGAGACAGGCCTTTTGGTAGCTTTGGGAGCTGAGGGACTGACAGGGAAATCTCCTTCCATTTGTGTCCTCATTATCTGCTTGCACACCTCCTCCAAGAAGCCCTCAGGTATCCTGCCAGGATGAAGAAATCAGCCTTCCTCTGGACTCCCCTAAATGTGTGTCTTGTAGGTTTTTACTTATTCTGAACTATGTGTTAGATCCCTTCCCTTCTTTCCATACAAGGTGGTAAGCCCATTGAAAGGAGAGAATATGCCTCATTTACTAAACCTTGCCTCAACTTTGCTTAAGGTCCAACACCTTGTCTCACCTGGAAATAATGTCTCTCTTATCTGTAAACTGGCTGTTTTGTGTTACATAAACTTATAAAGGGTGCAGAATAGTGCCTGGAACATAATAAGTGCTCAATAAAGACTAGCTATTATTATGTTTCAAGTGAAGTTGGGGCAGTTATTTCTATGTCTAGCTTTTAAGTTTAGCTTTAAAAAAAATGTGTTAGTACTTTATTAGGTATTAGATATAGAATGATAATAACCCAGTGTATTACCATTACTACATTAAAACGGGTTCCACTTACTCCGTATATCACCAAACATTTTGAGACACTTATGTGCTATCTACTGAGCAGGCAATGTTAGACATAAAATGAAGTTTACAAAACAGTCCTCAAACTCTAGGAGCGTCCAGTCTCATGGAAGAAAATAATGCCTATGTACAACTTCCAGTTGTATGATCAGAGACGGTTTCCTGGAGGACTTTATTGTTGTTCAGTCTCTAAGTCATGTCTGACTCGGGTCTTTTTAGTGTCAGGAATCTGAATTATGAGGTTAACACCATAATTCAGGTTCCTGCGTTACTAGGACTTGATACAACTGTAGAGAAAATACTGTGTCATAGCATTTGATGGGATCGGCTGCGGGTCACCGTGCAGGGGCATCTTGGAGACAGGGCTGGTAGGAGGACGGGCACGAGTTCCTGACTATCCCAGAGGTTATGGGGGCAGGGAGCGTTTTACTGGTGTCTAATGGATCAATGGGAGCTCATTCTCAGTGTGCGAGATACTATAGGTGGCTGAACCTCCCTGCACCAAAGATTGGGAGGCTTTGTTCCAGTGTTGCTGCATTGTGAAACACTGGAAAGGTCAATCAGATAACCAAGTGTGTTTGGAATCAGACGCCTCTGGGTTTGAAGGAAGCTAGTGTCTCCCCATCTTATTTCCTTTCACCCGGAATTATTCTATGTGCTACTCAAGAATGCTCATAGAAAGTGTGTGTGCATGTGTGTGTATGCAAACCTACTTGTTCTTCTTATAGTGGAATAAAGTTATGGATGGGGACGTTTGAATGGTCTGAAATCTACCACAGTGTAAAAGCTACTATTTCCCATCATGATTACACAGGCACAGGCAGCTCTTCTAACATCTTCATTACAGAAAGAAGGCGCTGGAGAGCATTTCACCAGTCTTCTCTCTCTCTCTCTTTTTTTTGGTAGCTTGTAACTTTTTATTTTGTATTGGGATATAGCCGATTTGACAATGTTGCGGTAGTTTCAGGTAAACAGGGAAGGGACTCAGCCATATATATATGTGTGTATCCATTCTCCCCCAAAGTCCCCTCCCATCCACATCACCAGCCTTCTCTTTCATATTGAGAATATGATTTAAATTATACTATAAAGTTGTTCTTGTGTTTTCATTACTGTGTTTTAATCATATTAAATAGGCTCCTACTTGGTAAAGGAAAATAATACTTTTGAGTTGTCTGCACCTTAAACTAGCTACTCCCAGGGCCATGGGTCACTGTGGATGCTGTCTGTATGGAAATATCATGATCTTCTTGTGGGAGAGAATTCTTGTCTTTCTTTTTCATGGCAGCTCTCTGGAAAGTTGCACAGACCAAACTAGTCTGTTGTAAATGGTATATGAAATAGGGCTGGTCTGTAAAAGTATCAAGCTAAATGGATCTACTAGGTTGGATTTGGTTTATTTTAAATGGGAGATGACAGTTTTTTGTCACAAAAGTGCCTTAAGAAATTTACATATATATGCTATGTAAAATAAATCACTTCATATATATGATATACTATAATATATATATATATACATGTATAATATAATATATACATGTACTATATATACTATAGCTTTATATTTACCTGTAGTAAAATGTACAGATCTTCAGTATATAGTTTGATGGGTTTTGATGAATGTATATGCTCATGTCCGCTTCACCCAAATCAAGATACAGAGCATTTCCATTACCTCAGAAATTTCCCTCCTATACTTTTCCAGTCAGTTCCCTCTACCTCTTCCAGAGTCATTGACTATTTGATTTCTCTCACTTTGGGTTAGTCTTGTCTATCGTTGAAATTCATATCAGTGAAATAATGTACTGTGCATTCTTTTGTGTCTGGTTTTTTTCCCTCAACAAAATATTTTGGAGAGTTCGTATTGTGTGTATCAGGGTTGTTTTGTATTGTGGAGTAGTATTACATTGCATATATGTACCAGATTGTTTATATTTTTGTTTCTCAATGGACATTTGGACTGTTTTTTTTTTCGCCTATTATGAATAAAGCTGCTATAAGTGTTCCAATTCTGCCATATCTTTGCCAGTCTTTGATCTTATCTATCTTTTGAACTTTATTCTAGTGTATGTTGAAAAAGGAGAAAAGTGAAGTATTTTCGAATGGTACATTCCAAATTAGGCACAGTGAGAGATTAACAACAACATGAGAAAATAGAACAAATTATAACTGTATACTGTAATAAAAGGTATGTGAATGTGCTCTCTCAAAATACCTTACTGTACAAATTTCATGCCTTTTCTATCTTATTAATATGAAGCACTTATCATGCACTGCAGCTGCAACTTTGCAGTTTTAAGTATGAAAGCAAAACTAGCATGTATTTCTTTTTTCTTTCTTCATGATTTTACAAATAGAAAATTCATTCTTACTGTAGATCTTAGTATCCACAGCTTATGATTTTTTTTGGTTGTGCCATGTGGCAGATGGGATCTTAGTTCCCAGACCCGGGATCAAAACCTTGTCCTCTGGGGTAGAAGTGCTGTCTTAACCAAGGAAGTCCCCGAAGCATATGATTTTATTAAGTTGAGAACTTCCACATTTTCACTTCAAGGAAGTACTTTATGGCTTCTCTTTGGCAGATCTGAACTACCAGCATCTCTCCTCTTTTGCTTTGGGGCCATTATTGAGCACAATAAGGGTCACTTGAATACAAGAACTGCTATACCTGGACAGTTGACTTGATAACGGAACTTCTAAGTGACTCATGGGAAGGATACCCTGGACAAAGGGATGATTCATGTCCTGGGCAGGACAGAGCGGGAAGAATGGAACTTTCATCATGTTACTTGGTGCACAATTTAAAACGTGTGAATTGTGTAATTTGTATTCACAATTTAAAATTGTGAATTTTCTGTTGAACATTTTCAGACTGTGGTTGACTATAGGTAACTGAAATCACAGAAAGTGAAATAGCAGGTAACAGGGAGCTATGATGGTTAAGGAAACATTTCTGTAGAATGTAACTAGTATTTTTGGAGCACTTGCTTCTAAAAGGCCTGGCCCTTGGCTGAGCTAGTGCTTTATGGGCATTTCTTTATTCCTCCCACCTGGA